ACTACTGACGCAGGTCTCTCCACGCACTCTGCTGGTTGAGCCCAGCAAGGGTGACCCTGCCGCGGCTGTGGGATTCTGGGCCTTGTGGGCGCCTCCGCTTTGGTGCACCTGCCGTGTGCCCTGCTGTCCCGTGTCCCCACTTAGCGCATTTGCACTGTGGGGTTGCAGGTTGGGCCTCCCGGGAGGCCTCTGGTCCCCGCACTCAGAACGTGCTACCCCAGAGGCCTGTTCTCGTTTTCTTTATCTTTCACGTAAGTAACACTTGTTCCTAAGAACAGTGCCAGTGACCTCTCCTGGTGGGTTCTTGGGAGCTGTGTTCTCTGGGGGGTGCTGTGTGTACAGCCCCCCGTTGCCACCTGTGTGTCTGCAGGACCCGGTGCTCAGTATTCTGTTTGTGGACGTGGTCATTGAACATTAAGTTACCCTGAGGGCTCCCCACAGAGACAGAAGTGCTCCTGACCTGCTTCCTCCGCAGGCCAGCGGCTCTTGGTTTTGTGTTTTGAATGAGGCCTTAAACTAAACCCTGGAGGTTTTGTTCTAACGTTATCTAGGATCCAGGGAAACCCTGCGGCGTCTGGCCCTGGGTGTGTGAGGCCGACAGCCACGTCACTGGCTCCTGGGGCAGGGAGGGTACCAGCCCGTGCATTCAGCAAATGCGAGACCTCGCTGGCCACAGGCCTCAGTTGGTGCTGATTTGAAGTTGAAGGCAGAAATGCCACCACATAATCCTGAATTTGAACTGAGCTCTTGAATGCTCTCTGAGATGGGTAGGGAGGCTCATTCCCTGCCTGTTCCCTAGGTGCGTTGAGGGGAGCAGGCACCTGAGAGGCTCCAGCTGCACGGTGGGGGCGCCCGGACGCCTCTCCCCACTTCTGACAGGTCACACACTCCGAAGGAAAGTCCCCAGGGGCAGGAGGGGTGCCCAGGGGGTTCTTGAGGGCAGCAGAGAGGAGGGCTGACGACTGGGAGTTCTAACTTCCTGGGCCAGGGAGTTGTCCCTCGTGGTGGATTTGGGGTCGGGATATTACCCTGGGCTTCCTGGAAGCATGGCCCTGCTGACTTTAACACTGTGCTCTGTCCCCGTGCCTTTCAGGGGGTTTTCAGAAGCCCCAGTCCTCTCCTGGGGCATGGCTGGCTGTCTTCCGGCTTGGGAGCATGGACCTGGGCTCAGCCAGGCGGTGGGCCTTTTCCTCACCATCACCCACCCCCATGCTGAGCACCTGTGGTGGCCCAGACCCCGCGGCGGGGGGTGGGGGGGGGTGCGGTGCTTGGGCATTTCTGAGCTGAGCTCCCTTAGAGGGTCTTTCCCCAGAGGGGACTTGGGTCCCCACTTGAAAATTCTTGCTCCGTATCTTATGTTTGCATATAATCAACCCTAGATGCAGGGTTTAAAAAGATGAGCAGGTTCTCTGGGTGTGGCCCACGCTTGGGGAGCCTTAACTATGGAGGGTTTGGGTTTACATCCAAGGCCAGCAAGTGGAAAGACCTGAACTAAGTATGGTAGTGTTGGGGACCAGAGCAGGTGTTGACAGGGCTCTGGTCACCCATCGTCTCAGCGGGGCATCCTCTGTTAACACAGCCTGAGCAGTGGAACCAGGGCCAGATCCAGCTGCCTGGGGTGTGCTAACCCCCACGGGGGGGTGGAAGGGGAGCCCAGTGCACCCCTGCCTGGCCCCGCCCCCCCCCCCCCCCCCCACCCCAAGGTGAAGGTTCTGACTTGGCCTGGTTGCTAGCCTCTGGGATCCACGGGCACTCTGGGGCCAGCATGCCCCGCCTCTCACCGGGGTTTGTCTTGATCACGTTTGGTTGGTGACATTTGTGGGGAAACGAGGCTTGGGCTGTGCTTCCCCGTCCTTGGCAAGAGCCTCTGTTTGGCTGGGGAGCAGGGACGCTGGTGCCTGGTGGCAGCCTGGTGAGGGTGTGGAGCGTGAGGCTCCCCTGGGAAGTCCGTGGCCTTGGTGAGCGAGCGTCAGGCCCTCGTGCTCCTGCGGCGCCTTTCCTGTGCGAGCTCTGCAGATGGCTCGCCTCCTGTCACTTGTCTTTAGCGTAAACCTCCGCCTTCCCTCCGTCCTTCATGGAAACCTCTCTGTTTGAGCCAAGGTTCCGCAGGTGCTCCAAGGGGCACAGGCCTTGCTCTGTGGCAGTCCCTGGCTCCCTCCATCCCCTCCCTCACCCTCCTCACGGGACAGCAAGTTGTGCTTCCCCTGGGGCTGTGAGGGTCTAACTCGGGGGGCCCAGGGTACACGTCCACAAAATGGCTGTGGAAGCCCTCGTCTTTGGGAAATCACTGGAGAGAGAAAAGAGTTCGGCTAAACCTCTTTAGGTTAAACCTAGCATTGGAAAAGTTCCTTTGAATCAGAACGAGAGCTGTGTGGCTCTGCTCTCAGGGAGAGCCTAGATCCCTCAAAGGGCGGCCCCTTGAGGCAAAGCCGGCCCCAGGCCCCCGGGGCTCCTGCCGGGCTTGGTGCGGTCTCTGCAGTGTTTTGCCGTGCGCATTTCAACTTTGCAGAGAAGACGAGTTATCGTGGCTTCCCCGCTCCTTCTCTCATTGCCTTGCTCTCTTTCTGGGGACAGTGTCCCATCCTGTATCCCATGGGCTTCCCGAGTCTCGTTTGGCCTGCATGCTGAAGTTTACATGACAGCTTTGAACGAGCACGTGCCATGCGCTGGTGCCGGCGAGGTCTGTGTCGTCTGCTAGTTGAGACCCCGGAGTGTTTGAAGACAACCCTTCCTTTTGTACTTCCTGTGACGTGACCAGAACACCAGGTCCTTCCCCGGGGGAAGGCAGGGGGTGCGGGGAACCTGCTGCCTTCACCTGTTGCAGGTGAGAGCGGTGAAGACAACTGCCTTCTGAAGGCCAGGAGTGAGGTGACAAGGCCGTCAGCCGGGAGTGCGCGGTGGCTCCTCGCGTCACACCACGCTGCTCGGCAGGTGGGAACCTCGCTGCGGGTCCGCATTGTGCCACAAGAGCGAGAGGGCGTAACCGGCTTCATCCCCAGCAACTTGGCCTTCTGGAAAGATCTCGGGGTTCACTTGGAGGCGGAAGCTTCATTAGGAGCCTCCCCGTTTATCCCAGGGCGCTTCGGGTCAGGGTGCTGGGGAGAGTGGCAGCCCGCATGCCACGTCCCATGTCCCCCCCCCCCCCCGGAACCCGTTCCCCAGCTGGACAAGGGAGCTCGTCCCTTCTAAGGGCGAGACTCTGGCCTGCTGCTGTCCCATCCCTGGAGATGCCTTCCTGCCTCTGGGAGTTGGCCGGCCCCTTACTAAGCTGGTGGCCGCTTCCGGGCCCCCGTCGCTGCCAGCCACAGGAGAACTGTGTGTCGTGGGGGGGTCTGACGGTGCTGCCTCCTTCCAGAAGCAGGGCCCTCTGCTGACCTCTGCTTTGGCCTCTGCTTTGGCCTCGCTGTGCCCAGATAAGTTTTTCAGCGGGGCCTCTCTCTGCTCCTCCACATCCTGTCCCTGTCCCTGTCCCGGGCCACTGTGACTTGGAGAAGCAGGTGGGTTTGTGGTCAGTCTTCAGAGGCTCGTGCCCAACCCGGCCTTGCATCTCTGGTGTTTGCCAGGAAACGGTCCAGAAAGGCCACCGTCACTCTTCCCTTGGACACTAATGAAGGTTAGGGTTTAATCCCTGAACGAGGCATTTTTCTCCTTACAGAAATCATTTCATCTGTTCCTCTTTTCCATAAGTAATTGAGGCTGAAGTAAAGGAGGAACGGTTTCACGAGGCCTTAGCGCCGCAGGCCCCAATGAGGGGCCTTCCCTGAGCGCCTGGTGGCCACCTGTCCCCAGGGGCTGGGAGCCTCAAGCCTCGGCCTCGCCCAAGACAGGTGTGTGTCTGAGGACACACAGGACACAGTCGGGCGCTGTGGTCTTCACCCTGCCGGCAGGGGTGCGGGGGAGCGAGACCATGGGCCGCCCCGGTCGCCTGAGCCGCCTCTGTCCACCCTGCACCAGCGGGTGGGCCTTCCCGAAGCCGTTTCTTTACGCTGGACTTCGGTGCCGAGCGTATGAAGGGCTGGGTGCTGAAAGGCCTCCGAGTGGCAGCACAGCTGGCTGGGGGGGGCAGGAGGGGCTGCGGGCCCAGCCCAGGGGCGCACACGGGGGTTCGGCGGCCTGGCAGCTGACGGGTGTCTTTTCAATGTAAAACTCGACACGGGCCACTCACAGATGTTCTAGAAGCACTTTCCACTATCCAAAGAGGTAGGAAATGTATTTTGAGTAATAGGAGATTAAATTGCCCTAACTTAAAATCTGGGGGAGCCCTAAAATGTATCACTCAGAAGTCCTGCAGCAGCTAATCTGTCTCGTAAACAGAATTAAAGATGCTTATTCCCAGCTGTCTGGAATGCCCTTTAGTGATAACCATGGACCTCATCTTTGGGGACTTTGTCCCTGTCTCTTGAGGTGGTGAACCCTATCCCTGGGGTCACTGGGTTGGGTCGGGTGTGGCCTTGTCTGGAGGGTCCCATGTGAGGTGCTTGCCCCTCCTGCGGGGCCTGGGCCACCTTCTATTTTCAGTTGGTCCCCTGCTTCCCCCCTCCCCCACCCCACCCCCCAGCCTCCTCCATGCTTCCCTTTCTCTGGTGGGTTTCCAGACTTTTTTTTTTTTTTTTTTTTTTAAACTGCTGCAACTGAGCCAGACCTGGGACTGGCTTTGTCTTTGCTGAAGGGCTTGTGCTCAGTGTGAGTGATGGCAGAGTTGCCGGGGGATGAGTCAAAAAGCAGGTTGTAGACACTAGGTCTCTGCTCTCTAGAAAAGGTTGGTCTGAAGGGCTGCCGGGTGTAGGGCAAGCGCGTCCCCCGCCCGCCTTGTCTTCCGCAGGACTCCAGGGACTGGCCTGGTCCACCCTAAAACGGCCTCGGCCCCTCCGTGGCTCTGCTGCACCTGCCAGGAAGGGGTCCAGCAGCTCTGCTGTTGCAGACGCTGAGGTGCTGGGCCGGGCTGTAGGCGCTCCCAGCTTTACTACAAGTCTTTAAGGTTCCTTGACTCTGGCGCTTAGCTATACGCAGAACGGCATTTTACATATGTTGGACAGAAACAAGAGAATCAAGCCCCGGCCAGAAAGGTTCCAGAACTGCAGAGACCTGTTCGATCTGATCCTCACCTGCGAAGAGAGGGTGTACGACCAGGTGGTGGAGGGTAAGGATGCAGTCTGGGCGCGCGCTGCACACCTGCTGGCCGTCTGCCCGTCGCGGCCTCGGGGGGCCCCCCTGGCTGTGAAGCAGAGCCGGTCCCCAGATGGCCAGGCTGCCCTGCGCACGGCTCGGCGCTTCCCGGCCCAGGGCGTGGCGCGGGGTTCCTGTGGCTCCTGTGGGCAGGGGAGATCGGTCAAGGCTGCGGTGGGGTGGATGGGGCCCTCCCTCCTCCTCGGCCCCCAGCCTGCAGGCCGAGGGTGGAGGTGGGGGTGGGAGGTGGTGGCCTTCGGGTGGCCACGTTCATCAGAGCAGACCCACCTGTGTGTTGGCTGACAGCATCGTGCGGGTTTTAAGTCTTTGGGGCACGTGACGAGCATGTGCGAAGCAGAGGAACCAGGGGCCTGGTGCTCGGCGAGTGGGACCACGTGGCCAGCTCGTTGAGGATGACCGTCGCCGGGTCTCCTTGAGTCACACCACGTCTGGCGTGCAAGTGCTCGGGCCTGGCTCGTTACCCAGAGGCCAGAGGCAGGGAGCGCGTCGACCCCCTCGCACTCTGGTTCTGAAGCCTCTGACCGCTGTGTCTCGTCCCTGTTAGATCTGAACTCCAGAGAGCAGGAGACCTGCCAGCCGGTGCACGTGATCAACGTGGACATCCAGGATAACCACGAAGAGGCCACGCTGGGGGCGTTCCTCATCTGCGAGCTGTGCCAGTGTGTGAGTACCCTGTGCCCTCCTGTCCCCTGCTCTGGTCCAGGAGTCCAGGTCTGTGTGACCCAGGGCCCCAAGGAGCAGTCTCTGCCAGAGGGACTTGACCAGGGCCACCTTCTCCTGACACACGGGTTTTACCAGGAAAGTGGCTATCACGTGATTCGGATTCACGTTCGGGTTATTTTCAAATGTTAAAGTAGGTGCAGAGGCGCCCGCAGATCTGTGGATCAACCACACGGCTCTGGCTTAAGAACTTGCCTCTGTGCCTTTCGTTGGGTTGATGGAGGCGCGGTGCCCTGCTCCACGTCCGGCTTCTGCAGAGATGGCCGTGCGTGCCCACCAGGACCCGTCTGCCGAAACCTGGCTGACGTCGAAGGGAGCCTGGGGCCCTCAGAGGTGCCGTCAGAGCTCTGCGGACGCGGTGGGTCCTCCTCTCCTGACCCTCAGGACCTGTCAGTCCTTGGCCTGCCCGAGTGGCCCTGGGCAAACCTCCCTTGAGTGGAAAACCCCAGGGACTTTTGCAGCCACTGTGCAGCTGTGCTCAGAGCAAGACCTTCCCTCTCAGATGGGACAAAAGGACCGAGCCGGGCAGAGGATATGCACCTCGTCCTGTCCTCTGCCCGCAAGCTCTGCGTTTAGGTTTAGCTCTGCTGGCTAGGAGTGGCCAAAATGAGGGAAACAAGTGGCTTGACCAAGAGACAGAGACAGGCAGGCCCGGACTGTTTCGCTGTGAGGGCCCAGGCCCTGGTGTCTCGTTCCACACAGCCGGCCTCTGTTCCCAGCATGGCCGTCGTGCGAGACAAAGGGCTGAAGGGGAGCGCGTGGCCCAGAAGCTGCGCGTGCGCTTTCCTTTCGGGTCACCCGACGAGAGGCGAGGTACAGGGGGTCTCTTCATGTCGGAGAGGCGCTGCTTACAGGCCGAGGCTTGGGCCGGTGAGCGGCCTCGGCCACTGTGCGGCCCGCGCCGGCCCCGGGCCACCCTTGGGCTGTCCGCCAGCAGCACCTATTTCTTCCAGGAAGGGTCTCCAGCAGGGGACGTCTGGCCTTCTCTGCTAACAGCTCTGGCTGTCACAACTGGGAGGGACCATAGTGACAGCCGGCGGTGGGGGGGACGCCACAGATGTCCCAACACCCTGCCGTGCACGTGACGCCACCGATGCAGAGCACGGGCTGGCTTTGGGCAAGTGACCGAGCCTTTACGGAATGGGGACGGCGGAGGCGGCGAAGGTCCCCAGTCGGTGTACTTGGGACATCAGTGGGCAGGCCTCCTGCGGTCAGAGCCCGGTCCCTTCCCCGGGTGGGCTACAGCAGGCGGAGGCCGGGGACTGCCCGAACCCTCTGTCCTCAGGCCCCCGCGGGGGTGGGTGCCAGCAAGTCTCCAGAGCACAGGTCAGCACCGGGTCGGGGCACGGGCGGCTGGGTGCGCGGCACCCCCCCCCCGCCCCCCACTCCCGGGGCCATCGCCCACCTCCGCACCCGCTCAGGCGGCCTGTGCCTCCCCCCAGATTCAGCACACAGAGGACATGGAGAACGAGATCGACGAGCTGCTACAGGAATTCGAGGAGAAGAGCGGCCGAGCCTTCCTGCACACGGTCTGCTTCTACTGAGCCGCCCGCCCTCCTGAAGCCGACTTTCTGAGCTTCCTTTTGTTAATACTTTTCCTCCCTGATACCTGTTTTTACTTTAAGGTGTTCTGCTGGCGGACAGCAGCAGTGCCCAATGAACTGTACATACAAAATGAGAAGATACACAGACACCAGATTACACCAAATTCTTTTCTTTCCCACTCCTCCTTATGAGTGGGATGTCAATTAGGAAGTTTTCTTTCTTTAACCAAAAGTGTAAACAACGGTTTATAGTACATTTTCCCCATACATTTGTGGCTCTCATTGTGGTTCCTCCCCTGTGCCCCCCAGACTTGCTGGAATGTGCAGATAACCGGAATGAAGCCGTGCACTCTGTCTCACTAGGAGAGAACCTGCGATCGTCCAATAAATAGATGCTGCTGCCTTTGCTTTGTCCTCAGTTGCCCACCTGGCCTGCCGGGGGGGGGGTGGAGACAGGGGGCGCTCTGGGACCTGTGGACCGCAGCCTGACTTCTGGTGGGACCCTGAGGTCCTGCTACCCACAGGGACTGCTGGAAGAATGGAGCCCTCCCTGTGGCACCTCCTGGGGCTGAGATAGTTGTCCCCAAGAAGCCTTATTTCCTCGTGATCCTCCTGACCGCCGTATCTGTGGAAGACCTCAGGTCACCATGGGGAGGTGGTAGGGGCTCCCACACCGGCAGTGCCCTTCTGGGGGCTGTGGGTGCGGCCTTGGCGCAGGGACTCTCTCCCGGACCCCCAGCATCCCCGGGCACTCTGAGCAGAGCCACAGACACTGGCCTGTCCCGGTGCCTGGTGCAGACTCCTCAGGGAAGATGGGCCTGAGGCTGGCCCTGCCGCCACTGTGGGGCACCCTTTGGTCTTTGCTGGGCCATGTGGCCATGGCTTTGGAGTGACCTCCCTGGCAGCTCCCCAGCGGCCCTGCAGGGCGGGCGCTCCACCAAAGGCAGGTACTTGCTGGAGGAAGCCGGGCGCCAACCAACCTGCCTGCGGCCCCGCGAACCGGGAGGAGGGGTCTTCAGTTGAGCGCTGGGGCGGAGGGTCCGGGAGGGCGCAGGGCCCTCCCCAGGAACGACCGGTCCGGTCGGGACTGGCCAGACGGGGACGAGATCCCGCCCTGCGGTCCCCGGGGAGGGGTCCGGCCGACGGCGCGGGGCGGGGCGGGGCGGGCGGGCGGCGCGGCCCCT